GTGGACATCATCAAGAAAGGGAGTAATTTTTCAAATCTAACTACTGATTACCATTATAATATATCCCAAAAAGGAAAAATGGGTCTTTTTATCCCAAAGTTTAGGCCACACTATCCAAAACATCCCAAAGTTTAAAAACATGCCATTTACATCCCAAACTTTTTAAAAACATGTTACATTAGGATATTCGTTAAATTTTTAACCCAGTTAATTAATTAGTGGTGGTACTTTATTCTGTTTCTCCTCCCCCAATTCTTTTAATCATTTAACACGTTCCACTAACTCCCACCTTATAAGAAAATAGCTAAACCTAATTTGGTCTTCACATCATCCATTATTCCCTTGCTTAGAAAAAGAAAAAAAATATCCAAAATTCACCTTCCAAATTGATAACAATCATGAGAGTTTTTGTGTGTGTCCTAATTAGAGAGTAAGCCCTATTTCATTTATTTTTTTAAATATATAGCATCATTATAAAAATTGGTATTGTAATTGATGTAGCGGTATGTAACTTTTTTGCTTGGCATGAACCAAATTTACCAAACACAAGCATGAAACTTTTTTGACTAAAAAAAATGGGGGAAAAGAAACTGAATGAAATATTACCGTTAATAACTTCAAAAAATTAACAAATGTCCTAATATTACATATTTTTTAAAAGTTTGGGATGAAAGTGGCATGTTTTTAAACTTTGGGATATTTTAGATAGTGTGGCTCAAACCTTGGGATGAAAAGCATCCCAAAAAACATTGAATAATATATATCCAAACCTTATAAATAAACTTACCCCTAATTGACCATGTTATTAAAAAAATCATTATAATATTAAGTAATTTGAGACTAAATATGTTTAGTTATCATTAGTAAATTAAAAATTATTAGATATATTTCAATTGTAGCATTTTATATATCTTAGTATTATATTATTATGTTTTTTTTTTGTAAAGGTTATATTATTATGTTGAATATAATATTACATGGGTAAAAACATTAAATAAAGTTGAGTAAAATGATATATTATACAGATATTGTCGTTTTTCGAGATTTTTTTATTTACTCTAAGAATATTATTAGTTTAATATCCCTTTTTCCATGTTTTTTGCTTTAATCGATATAATTGCAACCCGTATTAGTTTGGGGGGAAAACCCGTATCAGTTTAATATCCCTTTAATATGCTTTAGTTTGATTAGCCGTGAATGATTCAGTTTAAGATTAAAAAAAATGTACACGAATTTTATAACAATTCAGAATAATTCAGCTTTCCCTAATTGTGTAACAATTGCGATTGTAATAAGATTGGGAATACTTCTCTTTTAAGAAAGATTCAGATAATTCAGCTTTCTATATCTCTCTCTCTTTCTTTCTCTCTCTCTCTCTCTCTCTATATATATATATATATATATATATATATATATATATTACAGGAGAGTTTCAATCGTACACATAGCATAAAATTAGATAGGGTAATATACACGGCAAAAAGTAGATAGCCAAGTCCACATGTCGCAATCACATCACTCCATCATTTAATGATAAATTTTTATTTGTAAATACGTAAAATTTATAAATAAGTAATGCTACTCGGTTTAGTTTTTTTGTCATTAACTGCACGAATGATTACCACCATAATAATTGAAATTACACGGAATCTCTTATTAAAGCCACACTATATTTATCCATTTGCATTTTTTACTTTGAAGTAAATTGGAGTGGAACATTATATGAAAAAATCACCGCGACTTCCAATGTTACTAATATCGCTGGAAGTGTAAAACCAGGGAAAAATTATATTCGTTGATGATGCCTTGATAATCTGGACACTCTGTAATATGAAAAAAAAAAAAAAAATGAACGCCACAAAATACAGATAAATTCGGAGGTTTGTTATATGTATATGTTTATTTTTGATTCGATCCTCCTGTATTTTTGTATTGGTCAGTTTTGAAGTGTCGAGTGAGGATTGCTCTATCTCTTAAGAAAGGAGTTTTGGTTAGGTGAGTGAATCTATTACAAATTCGCTATAGTTTACTACCTATCATTTTATATTTCTAATTCGTTAATATGTTATAATTAACCTGATGATTCCGTACGTTATGTTAGTTGAGAATGACACTAGTTAAAACTCAGTCATAAACAACGGTTGTACCTCGAAAATTGGAAGATGTATGTAATTAAAACTTTAATAATCATCCATCGAAGTATATTGTGATCATTGAGGAAAAACATCATTGGTCTTGTGTTTATCTGCCGGGTCAATCTTCACATGAGATGATGTATGGCTAGTGGCCGATATGCAGCCCCTAGTTAATTAATTTTGTGACGAGATAGAGACTTGGTTCAGCAAATCCTGGCTTGAACCATGCTTTCAAAATCTAAAACGAACACGAGAAACAGTGACCCAAAACGCCTCTTGACGACAAATTATAAGCGGAATCATACTGCCTGAATTGTGTGCCTCGTAAATTGGTTTACGAAAATGGATCAATGGATGCCGAGAATTAAGACATCGGAATTAGTAATTGTCCGAAGATAGAAATGTGTGAAAATTAATTAAATCCTTGCTCCATACAACTCTACTACTACAGCTGATGTACGAAAGTTTACTCATCCCCAAAAATGAAGGGGAAAAAAAGAAAAACGAGAGTTAGGAGAAGGGTGTTGATAAATTGAGAGTAAAAATGTTAAATAAAGAGTATTTTTTCCCTAACCACCTATGTTACCCTTTTACATGTATTTAATATGTATTCTAAATTTGTCTTTTTTACCTTAATTTCTCCCACTCTTTATGATAGAGGAAAAAATTTCTCATACCGCATTAATTAACGTCTATTTATTTTCTGCCTATTTTAAGTTCAGTACATCTATGCTATTTATTTTAAAATTTACGTTGATTTTTTCCCTGTTATGGTCTGTCAAAATTTTCATTCAAAGAAAAAAATAAAATAGAAATCCGTGCATAATGTGATCTTGAGATTTTTCTTGAATAACATAAATAAATATTGGCGTAAATAAAGTTGGAAAATTTTAAAAACTCCACTACATTTAGAATAGATATACATTTAGAAAAAATTATTTTTGTATACACAAAATACATGTGTATAAAAATTTGGAAAAAAAAAAACTATAGATGTTATCTTATTTTTATGTGGGTAGTGGTTTTTGGTTTTTTTTTTTTTTTATAGACAAATCCTCAAAGCGTTATTAATAAATTTTTTCCTTATGAGATTGGAACACTTTTTTTCAAAATGAAAATCTTGTCAGATTATTTTTTTAAAAAAAAATTAAAACAAAACGGAATGTGGAACTTAAGAGTATAAGATAGGCCTGTAAAGGTAATTAATGTGATAATAATGATAATAAATCATAAAATGAAAGAGAAATAAGAATGTATATTGAAAGATGTAAAAGAGTAACATGGGTAATTAGAATAAAAATTTGCTCTATATATAACATTTTTGCTCTCATTTTATCAACACCCTTGGGAGAAATAGGTCAAAGTTTATTAAAAAATATCTACAATTTTACATAAATATTGTCGTATAACATTTGTTACGGTATGAATTTATATATAGTGTATAGTTAGAAAAACTCCCCCCAATTGGGAGTTGACTCTACAAGTGCCGCGTTTGACTGATTAAAGGAGCTGGATAAAGTATAATCATTTCCCTAAACTCGTAACAGCATGAACTCACTAATAAAAAAATGGCAATACAACCAAAGTACTTAACCGAAATCATTGTCTCAAAGTCATACCACCACGCCGTAAAACACAAAGTACAAGTTGCCTACTGATTCTCTCTATTCAAATTCAATATCACTGATTTCAAGATTTGCAAAAAAAAAAAAAAGGAAATTTGGGTGGGGGAAAAATGAGAAAAATGCCCCCAGTGACACCCTGATGTAAAAAGATAACGTCAAAAACAGATTCTGTCATTTAGCTTCACATTATTCGGACAGACGAACACTGACAAAAACGTTAACCATATTCCCAATCTATTTCTTTTTTTCCAAGCCAAAAAGAAAATTAAAAAATTAAATAAAATAACTAGTACTCCCTCCATCCCATAATTAATGTTCAATTTTTCTAAAATGAAAGATTTTATATTTAAGTCAAACTTAACTATATTTTACCTTAAATAATGGGATATACCCCTACATAATTAATTGTTTAACCACTAAGATTTTATGGATAATGTTTTTTACTAGGGATAAATGTGTAACTTGATTCATAAAAAGTCAAATTGAACAATAATTTTAGGACAAAATTTTTTGGGCAAAGTTGACAATAATTATGGGACGGAGGGAGTATAATACTAGTATTAACAAAAGCAAGAAATGGCCAAGAAAAAACTGAAAAAGAAAAGGGTCACCGTTCAGAATTTCAGAAACCTTTATCTTCCTCCCTGAAAAAAAAAATGCTACTAATAAATACAGAAAAATACAAACAAATACTACTTGACATTTTATATGATCGAGCTGCCAGATTTAATTTTTTGGTGATAATATATGTGAGCTGAGCTGAGCTTTTTCATTCGTTTCTTCCATTTCTACCCAAACATCAGCAAAACTAAGAAGAAAAACAACAAGATTCACCACCGACTTCAGTGTGGAAACTAGCTTGATGTGATATAGAAGAAGTCAGAGAGCCAGCTGAAAAAAAGCACAGCAAAGATTGAAGACTTTTAAACTGCTCATGGGTTCCTAAGTAAACGTGATTGAGGATTATGTGTTAGACTCTGTGGGCTCCGGATGATATCTCTTTCACTAATTTAGCACTGAAATTCAGGGAACAGAGGAAGTGAATATTGTTGATTTTGGTAGTTTAGAATTAGTAATTACCATGAAAGATACCGTCCCGGATTTCGAAATAGATGAGGATTACTCAATCCCCTGTTCATCATCTGTTTCCGGTGGACATGGCGGCAACGGATTAACTCGACCCAAGAAGAACCCAATGTAAGTTTCTTTCTTTTTTTAGTCCAATTCATCATCCTATAATATGGTATGTGCTTTAAGGGATGAAGTTTTTGGCAATAACAGAGGAGATGATGAGGACATCATGGAGCTCTTGTGGCAGAATGGACAGCTTGTGCTTCAGAGCCAGAATCATAGATCATCATTTAAGAAATCTTCCAACGGCGGTGGAGGCGGCGGAGATGGGGTGGCGGAGCTACCACAGTCCACCCCAACCACCAGGGAGATCCGATCCTTGGACAACGTCATCAACATGTCAAATCACCATCAGCAACTCTTCATGCAAGAAGACGAGATGGCGTCTTGGCTTCACTATCCCATGGCTATTGACGACTCCTCCTTCGTCGACCACCGTGAGCTCTACCCCGACGACCTCCTCTACCCGCCGCCTTCAGCTCCGGCGGTTCCCTCATCGCCGCCGCCCCAAATCCACTCGGTTGTCACGGAGATCCGCCCCCTCGCTCCGCCGCCGCTGATGGCTACCTCCGTCTCTACGATATCTCCTCGACCGCCTCCCGTTCCACCTCCTCCGTCCACCGCGGCGGCGGCTGCGGCGGCTCCTTCTCCGAGGTTCCAGAACTTCACATACTTCGCAAGGCTGCCAAAGGCCGCAAGGATCGAGCAATCAGGACCGTCCACCTCAGCACGGGAAGTTACGGTGGTAAATTCCAACGATACCCCCGCGATGGGGGGGACGGAATCGAGGGTTTCCCGGCGGGTAGAGGCGGACAGCGGGACGCAGCTTTATTCCAGCGGAAATGTCGGGAGTTTGACTATGACCGCCAGCGTGACAGCTGGAGGTACGTCGACGACAGCCTGTGGGTTAGCGGGAGCGTGTGAGCCGACCGTGACGTCGTCGTCTCCCGGTGCCTCCGGCGGAAGCGCCAGCGCCAGCGCCGAGCCACCGCCGCTAACAATTCATAAGCCGAGCACATCCGCCACGGATGACCACCGAAAGCGAAAAAGAGCTGAAACAGAAGACACCGAGTGTCACAGCGAGGTAAAAACCATTATTAGCCAAATAATTATCTCTTTTCGTCTTTTATAGTAAATAAATAAACTACCAATGATTAGTATTGACCATACTTTAGTTAGTTAAATTAATGCTCTTCTTAGTGTTGTGATTAGTAAAAGTGACAAGGGAGTTAGTGGGGAGTTGTGTCACATTTATTTATTTTTTTCTTTATCAATTGGGTAAGGTTTACCGCTTTTGGAATTTCCTTGAAGAAGAGGTATTTGGCATCTTTTATTAGTGGTAATATATTTGCCAGTGTGGGAATGAGATGCCAAGTCACCGGTTGGGAAGCACGTGGCGAGATGAGAGTAAGATTTGGGGTATTGTAGTGCCAAGTGTATATTCTCAGCGCCACAAAGGCCTATTGACTGACTTGGGGTAGAATCCCAACAGATGAATAAATAAAATTACAGTAGAGTGAAACAAAAAGTTGGGTGGGGGAATGAGAAAACCAGGATGAATGTATCCCTGTAGAGGAGAAGATGATGGCTTGATGTGTGTCAGTAGTTTCAGGGGAGCATACAGCAATAAATCGGAGTGTGCATCCCGGGACTTGTGATCTTTATTGTCCTTTTCCCGTCTTGCCCAATGAAGCAGGAAGGAGTCAGTGGATAGGATATAATAAATACTCCATATAATAGGTTATCTTCTCATCATACTATTAAGTCAGAGCAGGTTTCAATTTGCATTTTTATATGCCTGAGTTTTCTGCTACTTATGACAACAACCGAGTCTGTGTCTCTGTGTATTCAGATACTCCTTCCTTTCCTCCATGAGAGAGCTTAATGAGTGGATTATTATCCATTCATCTAGGGAATACAAAAAGATTAACTGAAGCATCAATGAAAGGAATTTTAGGGATGGAAATCTGTGAATCCCATGCATGCATCCATTCATCTCGCTTTGATTCATAATTTTAGAACAAGAAGAAAGCACCATTACTAACTAACTACTTTCTTATTCCTTTTTAGTTTTTAGACCTTTTCTAGAGAGTTTCTAACACGTCAATTAGGCGTTGTCATGATATTATATTGATATGACATGATGGTCTCTCCTTCAACTGTCATCAACTAGCAGTAGTACTATAGCAGTTGGGTCTCTTTCTGTATCTTGCTTGCTCTTTCGAATTGGGCAACCGCATTGATTCTTTCCATTTTAAATTGTATTTCCAACATTTCGATTGTTTATTTTGAGTGCAGGATATCGAGTTTGAGTCAGTTGATGCGAAAAAGCAAGCTCGTGGATCCTCGTCTACAAAGCGGTCTCGTGCTGCAGAAGTGCACAACCTTTCAGAGAGGGTTTGTATAGGGCACTAAGCTTTAATTAAGCACTGAGTTTCTGAACGTGTTTAGTCATGATTCAGTTATATCACTTTTGCAGCGGCGCCGAGACAGGATAAACGAAAGGATGAAGGCATTGCAAGAACTTATACCTCGCTGCAACAAGGTTTTGCACATTTCCCCGTGGTTGCTATTGTTAGTTTTGATTTCTGCACTGAGTAACACCTGATATTTCCTTGGCATTTTTCGCTTTGCAGTCAGACAAGGCTTCAATGTTGGATGAGGCGATCGAGTACTTGAAATCTCTACAATTACAAGTCCAGGTATATAATCTTTTCATGGGAATGGTAGGGGCTATGAGCTAGGTACAATAGCTTATGGTACAGAAAACAAGGTCTTGATAGACTCACATGATGTCGCTCGAACCGACATTGTAGTTTGTTATGTCCTCTTTCATATTTAGAACTCAAGCCATTGCACATCTAGTCCTGGAGAAGCTTATTATACTGATAACGATGATTCGCCAATTTGTGTAGATGATGTCCATGGGTTGCGGCATGCTACCAATGATGTATCCTGGGGTACAGCAGTACATGCCAGCCATGGGTATGGGCATGGGGATGGGAATGGGGATGGAAATGGGAATGAACCGCCCTATCATGCCATACCCATCTCTTATACCGCCTTCAGGAATGCCGAACCCAGCTGTTGTGCCAGCATTTCACATGCGACCGGTTGCTGTACCAGGATCATCCAGAGTGCAAGCTCCTAACCAGCTTGATCCCATGCTGAATTCCCTAGTCGCGCAGAATCCCAATCAGCCAAGAATGCCAAACTTTGCCGATCCATATCAACAGTTTATTGGTCTTCACCAAGCGCAAGTATCATTACCACAGGCAAGCAGTCAATATTGCATTTGCATTTCAATGTTCTGTTGGAATTGAAGCATTGTTAATGAATAACATGACTACTCTGAATTGAGAAATTTGTTCCACACAGACAGCATTCATGTACTGCATTTGTCTAGAACAAGATTTACTAATCTTGCATCAAGGGGCGTGCTTGTTGTGCTTCATAAAAAGAGTATTGAATGGTTTCTTCCTGTATTTCTCTTGGCAGAATCAAGTGGTGGTACAGCCCAACAAGCCGAGCAGTAGCAGAGGAGCTGGGGATCCTGAAAATCATTTGACTGGTAGGTTGTTGATTATTTTGGGATCGGTTGAGATTTCTTTTTTTCTTGATCTGGTTAATTGGTAGATGATCAGTAGAATTACAATAACTACTACCTACACCTTACTTTTGGGATACAATACATAAGAAATATGCGGCCTAAATTGAACAATGACCATTTCAGAAAAAAAATAAAATAAAAATTGAACCTTGGGTTGTATGGGGCTAAGAACTCTAGCGACATTTCCATATCTCGTTTTACAATGAAATATTTTGGTACATTTCTTAGGACACATGACAGTTATACATTGGCTTAACTTTCTAAATCATCCCTAGAGAACAATCATTGTGATACCATCAACCTAATCATTAACGTGAGTGAGCAAAAGGTTTCTGGTAAACCAGTGGCTGCTGCAGGCAGGAACAAATCTTTTCAGACTTCTAAAGTTGGATGTAAATTGATGATTGATTTTGTGAATTTGCAGGTTAGTTGAGGATTTGATAAATCAACAAGCCAGAAGGTCTCAATTTTGTAGCTGTGGGAATATAAACTGTTGAGCTCGTTTGTAGTCCGGCCCTTTCATGTGATTTTAGAGCTGTAATATCTAGTAAGATGTAATTATTACCCTAGAGTTACTTTGGCTAACTGATAGTTTTTCTGTTTTTTTTTTTTTTTTTTTGGTTGGTGTCTTCAGAAAGCAAAAGTATAATTATAGTATCTTCTATCACCAAGTGGTATTGTCATATTCACTGAGCTTCAAAGAATTTCCAGCAATTTGAATGATCGACCACAACCTAGTTATCATTCTGAAGACTAAGCCACTTTTGTACCTCAACCAACATCTTCTAACTAGAAAAGGAAGCAAGTTGCACGAGGAACAAATCTGTTCAGATGCTTATTCTGATGCACATATCGCGATGTTAGTCATTATCGTTTTGAGCATATTTGGTCCCGGATGCTTCTGAAATGATGTCTACCGATGAGTCCAAATATGAAAAGGTGAAACTTTATCTTGTGTACTAAGCATGGAATCCATTGAGTTCCCTAATCAAATCAATAATCCAAGCCAATAACAAAAAGGCAAGCTTCTTTATACAAAAACAATCACACAATCAAGAAATGGTGGCAGCAGGGCACCTCAAAATTCAACAAGAACAATTATTTGTTATTTTACCATTTCTTTGAATGTAAGTACACCTTTATACATCCTTTTCAATCAGAACATAACAAGAGCCTGCAACCCAGGTGCCACGCTCAGACTGTAGAACCTAATGTAGACAAAATCTGGATGCAAAAAAGTTCAGCATTACCAGAAAACAAAGCACGTAAGGATCAAGCAAGTTTTAACACTGGGATGCTATAAGCAAATCTGTTAGGTGTAGTTGAATAATGAATACCTTCTCAGAGAATATCCGGAAATCATCCATTTGCATGGCCTTGCTTAGCTCCTTCAACAAGGTAAACAAAACAAAAGAACATGTCGTAAGACTCATATTCTAACTGCTTTCCAGCTTCAAAGCTACTCTGCAGAGAACAATGCAAGACTTCTCCATCAACTTCTAAAATATGTTTGTTAGAAACTTACTTTCTCAGGTTCAGCAGAGGTGACCATACTGGATATCAGTGTTTGTAGCTTTTCGTCTTTCAGTAAATCACGAATTTCACTTGATGAAGCTGCATCAAGAGTTGAGAAAGCATTTTAAGGTTGGAACTGCTGTTCTTTACATTCACTATACGCCAAAGGGTGCAAAACTTCTTTCAAAAATTTGGAACTGACCAGTTGAACACAACAGGCTAAAAATGAGTAATAAACTTCTAAAGAAACTAAACGATAACTCATAAGCTAGTCCTTTCAAAAAAAAAAAAAAAACTCATAAGCTAGCATTCTGTAGCAAGATAATAGCCATGCCCAAGAAGGTGATGAGCAAACCTCCTGATTATTGAACCCTGAGCCATTCACGAGGTATTCAAATCTACCATTTGGACACTTGAGGCAATGGCAAATTATCAGCCACTAGGTATCACAAAATCTTTTTGACAGATGAAGAGTAACTTGTGTTACCTATAGACTCCAGTTGAGAATGTTGCAGCACTTCACTCGGCTCGTCAACATAATACGGTTTGTCAAGATGTATAATAGCAGGTGCAGGACCTGATAAACCAAAGTTCATCCACATGAGCATATCAAATGATGTTGCAGTTCAATGACACATAAACTAGTCCTCTAAAATAGTAGAATCATCCATAAAAATCAAAGCGACCCTTTAAATTGCCCAATGCCTCATCTAAATATCCTCATTCAAATGCAAATGTCCCACTGTTAGTTCAAGGAACCAACCCTAGCCCTATTGCAACTCTATTAGTTAACTAAAAGCATTCGTTTGAGCAATCAGAATCATAGCATGAAAAGCAAAATAAACCAGAAAATACAATTCACAGCATAATTGAACCTAAGCTAAAACTTGATTCTTATAAGAAAAAATTACGAAAGTATTAAAAAGAACAAATAATACAAAAAGAATTAACACAGAAAGAACAAAATGCTCACTGGAATCGTCTTTCTGAGATACAGAAACGGGCTTTGCACAAGGGGTTTCTTTATGCTTCTTGAAACAGGGTAGAGAGCAGTAAGGCGTGAGACAGGCAGGGCACTTGTATTTTGACAGTACCTTGTCGCAGACTTTACAAGTCTTTGGTCCCATTTTTCCCTCTTTGTTTTGATCCATGGCGGTTAACTTAAGCTCCGCCAGTTTCCAGATGTGAAATCCAATTCACAAGAAATCACAAGCTTAAATGCTTATCCAGTATTAATATCTACGGAGGAGGAGAATCAAAGTTTTCAACTTCTCAGAACTGTTTCAGCAAGGAAGGAAGAACTGGAGAAGACGAATACGGGCAGGGAGAAGACAAGACTGGGCTCGGGGAGGAGAGATTTAATTAATTGGGCCTTTTGTAATCTTTTTTGAGCTATTATAGCCCAAAAAATTTACATATGGTTTTTCTTTTTTCTATTTTTTAATTTTTTATTTTTCTCAATCGGATTCTTTCTTGTAAAGAAAGAAGGTTTCTCGGAAGTGAATAAATAAACATAAACTCACAAATCCTTTGCACAAAATCAACTCTCAAAAACCTCAATTTCGATTTTCATAACAAAAACCAATCAGTATGGGTCAGGGAACTCCGGGAGGTCTGAACCGTCAACCACCCGGTGACCGGAAAAATGACGATAAGAAAGAGAAGAAATTCGAGCCGGCCGCCCCTCCGGCCCGTGTCGGCCGCAAGCAGCGGAAGCAGAAGGGTCCCGAGGCGGCGGCTCGTCTCCCCACCGTGACGCCGCTAACCAAGTGTAAGCTTCGGTTGCTGAAACTGGACCGGATAAAGGATTACCTCCTGATGGAGGAGGAATTCGTCAGCAATCAGGAGCGGTTGAAGCCCCAGGAGGAGAAGACGGAAGAGGACCGATCCAAGGTCGACGATCTCCGCGGTTCCCCCATGAGTGTTGGGAATCTGGAGGAGCTTATTGATGAGAACCACGCCATAGTTTCTTCCTCCGTCGGGCCGGAGTACTACGTGGGGATCTTGTCTTTTGTCGACAAAGATCAGCTGGAGCCTGGATGTGCTATTTTGATGCATAATAAGGTAATTCCTTTCTTCTTTAACTACTATTTCGTTTTAATTGGTATAATTTATCTAATTAGGGTTAGTAATTGAAGTGTAGGTTCTGCTCTGCTTATGGTGGTTCTGACTTTTGTGATTAGGGTTTCCATAGGTTAGATACTAATGAATTGAAAAAGAATTTTTTAATTTGCTCTGTTGCTTACTTTCTAGAAATTATGCTTTGCTTGTTACCTATTGCCTTGATGGGCTAGGGTTTTGAAGTCCATTTGTGAATTTGTGGCTTTGAGCCAAAAATGGTACTGATTTGGTAAGGTTTCTATCTCTTGGGCGCTGAAACTAATTAAACTACACTGAACTGACGAAGATAGGGAGCTTAAGACCTGGAGTATATTGAATAAGCAAACTATTATTAGTGTCCCACTTTCTGGAACGAGCATACAGAATATTAACTTGTGAGCAAAGGCACTTCTCTCCTAAATGGTTAAGTTCAATTGTTTGCAGGTTGAACCTGAGTAATTTTTTGTTGTTTTAAGTCTCTTTATCATGCAACTAAAAGAAAATACATAAACCCAGGGTAACTGTGCTTAGCTGACCTGTGATGGTTTATAAGTTTTGTAGTATTGTTACATGACAAACTTTCTGTTCTGGATACTCAATCTCATCTTGTTCAATGATGGTTCTGCAGGTTCTTTCTGTGGTTGGGCTTCTTCAGGATGAGGTTGACCCCATGGTATCGGTCATGAAGGTTGAGAAAGCACCATTGGAATCATATGCTGATATCGGTGGTCTCGATCCACAGATACAGGAAATTAAGGAAGCTGTTGAACTTCCCTTGACACATCCTGAACTATATGAAGACATTGGCATCAAACCTCCGAAAGGGGTCATACTCTATGGAGAACCTGGAACTGGCAAGACCCTTCTTGCAAAGGTTTGTAACCTCAAAAAGTGCTTTTTGGCTTGAGTAAATTATGTTATCTGTGTACTGATACACGTGAATTTCTTGGTCTTGTGATTGAATTTTGATCCTTTGTTTGAGATATTTACTTAATTGCACAAGTGTCTTGATTGAATAATATGAGTCATTTTGGAGTACTTGTTTATCAGAAAGGAATGCCCTTGGGCTGTTGCTACTACTATGGCCATATTATGCTTTGATTTGGTTGGTTATCTCATTTTGCTACTACCATGCCTTACAACTTTATGGTCACCTGACTCATATGGGATACTACTATGCCTTTCAACCTTATAGTAATCTCATTTTACATCTATCTCTGGAAAATCATGGCCTCTAATCTTCTCTTATGTTATGGTTCTTCAGGCAGTGGCGAATTCCACTTCAGCAACCTTTCTGCGTGTTGTTGGCAGTGAATTGATTCAAAAGTACTTGGGAGATGGTCCTAAATTGGTGAGGGAACTCTTTCGAGTTGCTGATGAACTGTCACCCTCGATTGTCTTTATAGATGAAATCGATGCAGTTGGTACAAAAAGGTAAACCTTTGAACAATTCCGCAAAGCAAGAATGCAATTTGTTATGTAATGAATGATCATGCAAAGCAAGAATGGAATTTTTTATGAAATGAACAATCATGCAAAGCAAGAATGCAATTTTTTATGTAATGAACAATCATGCAAAGCAAGAATGCAACTTTTCAATGTCCTTGCTTTCCACTCTGTAGGTATGATGCTCACTCTGGTGGTGAACGTGAGATCCAGAGGACTATGCTTGAGCTGCTGAATCAATTGGATGGGTTTGACTCAAGAGGAGATGTGAAAGTGATTCTTGCTACCAACAAAATTGAAAGTCTTGACCCTGCACTTCTTCGGCCTGGTAGAATCGACCGTAAAATCGAGTTTCCCCTCCCAGATATTAAGACAAGGCGTCGTATATTCCAGGTGTGTTTATGTTGCAGGTTCATGGAGTAACATTTGGGAGACAAACCTGGGTTGCTGGATAAGTTTTGGCAATATTTGATAAATATTCTATTGACATTTCCTTCACTCTTGCAGATCCACACATCTAGGATGACATTGGCTGATGATGTCAATTTGGAAGAATTTGTCATGACTAAAGACGAGTTTTCTGGAGCTGATATCAAGGCCATATGTACGGAAGCTGGATTGCTGGCTTTAAGAGAGCGACGCATGAAGGTTACACATGCAGATTTCAAGAAGGCGAAAGACAAGGTCATGTTCAAGAAGAAAGAGGGGGTTCCAGAAGGATTATATATGTGATGATGGAGTTCTCTCGAACTTGAATGCTTTTGGTTTGTTATTTGGTGTGTTGGCTTCACATTTAAACTTACTGTATGAATATTGTTCCAGAACCATCTGGTCATTTTGTACACTCTTTAATTTCTAAGCATCTACTTTTAGTTTCATTGTTCTGTGCGTCTAGCCGTTAATGGTGAATCAGTCGCTGTTCTAGTTTAAGTTCCCTCGAGACTCCTACCAACTTTGGTGGGGGATATGCATGCATCCCTTCAGGTAACAATGTCATAAGTGTCTCCAGTAAACTGAAATTCTGCCCACCTGTATTCCTGGAGATGAGAATTAGACGAATGATCATGAATGAACTCTTAGCTCTTATGCACTGAAGGTGCAAGGACCCTATGAGAACATGTTTCAAACAACTATACACGGTTGGGTGCAATGTTTAGTCCATCGTTGGGTCATGCCACCAAATCTCTAAGAACAGGGCTTACATCTCAGTAATTTGATTTTTGCTGGACGGACTGTACAAAAAGTTTCAGCAGACAAATTACTCTAGCTTTTCTTCAGAACATTCAGATAGGTTTATTGCGGACAACGTGGAGTAAAGGTGGTTTCGAGTACCATCCACTTGTCTAATTAACCAGGCTGTGCAGATACCGTCCGTTCAGAGTTCCATTTCCAGCGTCGACGGACGTCCATGTAAGGAACTTTCAGCCGATAGCGGCAGAAGTCTAGATCCCGAATTGTTTGTTCATGTCATCTACTATGGAGGAAAACGCAAGGGCAGGCGTTTGATTCTGTTTGTCTGATATCGTTCCTTTAAATAACTAAAAGAAAATGTTAAAAGCGTAGTTTTCCGCATTTGATCTTATTATCATGTTGCTATTCCATTAATAATAATATCAACCACACAACTGCTTTAAATTTTGTTGTCCTAGGCAAGAAAAGGGGTTTGAAGCTGGAGGAGTAGTAACTAGGAGACGTTGTAAAAGTGAACTACATTGCAGAAATAGTTGTCATTCCATTACAAGCGTACAAGAGGAAAGCTACACACTTTGAAGAGTGAAGTACTAGAAGTCTAGAACTAGAACTGACTGGTAGACTTGATGAAAGCAACACGTTGACAGGCAAACAACAAAGTTACATTAATCAAAGCTCACACAAACTCATAAATGAAAGGGACGGCGACACCAAAAGATGGAACTACTACATGATACGCTCTAAGATACGAAGTGTCAACTCTTTTCCTCCTCTTCATGGTAAAGGAAGAGTACCAGAGCCAGTTCCAGGGACAACACCACCAACGATGCCACCGACGGGTCCAACTCCGCCAGCTCCACCAACACCAGGGAAGCCAGAACCAACAAACCCGCCGAGGCCGCTTCCGGTATTGGCTCCACCAAGACCACCACCAGCGCCTACTGCACCACCAATTCCTCCGAAAGGCAGCCCATTTGCACCAATGCCGCTTAGCCCGCCGATTCCTCCGTAACTCACGAAGTTCTTCTCATCAGCAAGACCAGCACCAGTGGTCTTAGGCACATCTCTAACTGCAGTTGCATGAACCACAACAAGTGCAAGAACAAAAACCATCATCATTGATCCTCTTGCCATCCTTCTCCTCTTTAGTACCTGCACAAAAAACACTCTATTTGATTTCTTTTCTTTCTTCCACACTTCTCTTCAACCTTTGATTTTTTGGATGAGAATGCATGAAGGGTTTCATCACCTGGCTGGCTTTTAAAGACACGATTGGTTGTGACTGGAGTAAATGGAATTAAATGTGGAATTGAAGTCTACAAGAAACAAGAGTCCAAATGGTGGGTCATGAAAGATGATGAGTGATGAATCTGAGGTCTACGCAGTTTCACATGGAGTCTAATTGGTGAGTTGTTCGCCTGTTGGTAAAACAGCAGAAATCATAAAAGTGGCAACTTTACAGGATGAGTTGATGACTGCATTTATTCTCCTGCATTACTTTAAATCTGATAATCTTAGCAGTAGAGTAGATTAACTCCAGCGGTCCAGCCAAAAACACAAAGTGTACGTACTTCATACTATAAATTTCAACTATACATTCATCACTAAATCGTACAGTAATACCGTTCATGGCTAACGTTGTGATTACGACCTTTAGGATTTTGCCTAGCTATTTGGAGGCCATTGTCCAAATCCAACCCATTCACATTATCTTTTATCTTGAGACAGAGAATCAAGAACAATGAAGTATTGATGTTATACTATCATTTATTAACCTTAAACGGGGCCCTTTAGTTTTAATTACATACCATTTAACGTTCCTCTTCATGCATCAAGTTCCCTCCTTTTATGATAGTCACATAAAACTTATGGGAGTGAAAAATTTGAAGATGTTGGCCTAATAAAGGATTTAGGTTTCGAAAGATGAATACAATAAAGGGGTCTACATGACTGTCAAAGTTTGATGCAATATCAGTAGGCATAATTTAGCTGCAACAGTGCAGAATGGAAATACCAAATGCAAGTGCATTTGATTGAAGAGAGAGGGAAAAGCCAAGCCAGCCAAGCTAACGCGTTTTTTTTTTTTTTTTTTTCTGAATTTTGAAATGACAATATCATTGATTAATTTGGCAGAGAAAAATGTATTATTATTTTTTATCAGATGGATGCAGGCAGAGGAGTCATTGCAAAGCCAGATGTCTTTGGACTAGACAGCTTTTTTTTTTTTTTGCAAATGGCTCTTTGGAACTTCATATTTCACTGTCTACATAGTTTGTGGTGGAGGGCACTGGGTAAAGTAAATGCCATTGTCAGGTAGTTCGTTGGGTGTTGGTTAATTCTCATCAATGATATCTTTTAAAACTCTTCCATGGAATCCTATACAACTCATTTCATTTTGATTTCAAGTTTGAACCAGGACAACCACAAAAAATAATAAAATGCAGACGCTACTCCTCCTTATCCTGCTAGTTTCTTGCAGTTACACGGAAGTATTGTGTTTGAACTTGCATTCTTCCGTCCCAAATAAATTGTCATATTTTTTCGGCTAAATAGCTAAAAGAAATGATATGTTCTTTCAGCTCCTTTTGTTATTTATGATATGTATGTTTTGAAATTTTGTCATAGAAGCTTATCATGTGGTAATGGGTATGGAAAATGTAATAATCCATGTAATAATGATAGAAACGGATACATCATCCATGATGGATTGTAACAAAGAAAATTGATATCCTAAGAATACTTCCTCATATTTTTGTCGATCAATGGTGACTTAAAAACTATCAGTTGTTTGGTTTGACTGATAATTTGGTCAACAGAATAATTTTGAAATCCTCAGGCCACATTTCAGCCCAACAGAAAACCCAACAGAAACCAAGGGCATGATGGGCTCATTCTGCTCACATGTTAGAGGGGATGAGGAGAGAGGGCCACAATCCTTTCATTTTATCCATGTGGGATGACTTGATTTCTAAACAACCCTCCCAGGCCCATAGGCTATAAATTCGAAAATTGTTTTACAATAATACTTGAAAGAACATAATAACGTGAAAATTTATTTTCAAAAGTTTATTTTCAATTGAAAGAATACATTAAATAAAATTTAAAATAAATGACTTATTTTCTACTGTAATTGTTGAGGTTTCCAATAGGAAACACTCATCAAAAAATAGGCGTACGCTGCTATTTGTGACGTGTACACGGTATCTTCTTTATAAAAAGTGCGGAAGCACTTTTCGTGCACGGTTAAAGGGGGATTGCAGGTGAAAAACGCTGACGTGGCCATTTTCTATTGGACTGCTTCTCTTTTCTCCTTTGGCCGGCCCCGGTATGAGAAACGTATGCTCCCCGTTACCCACCCCTCTTTTTCTCTTTCTTTTTCCCTTTTGACCTTTGCGTGAACAATAGTTCCGATGATTTTCGAAAAAAAATCTGATTGTCAGTTCTGGCCAAAGTTGGTTTTCTGTAATCCCCTGTTTTCTCTCTTCGATAATCAGATTTTTCTAGGATTAGGCAGTAACTCTCTGGATTCGGAGGTTAGTGAGTTCTTGTTTTCGAAAATCATCGGATCTATTATACTTAATTTGTATGCATGTTTGTGTGTTTGTGTGTTTATTTCTCCGTTCACTGATACAAGACCAGAGAGGATTTAAACTTCGGGGTTTAGGAGAAACAAATTGAAGAGTTTAAATTGAGTCAATGTGATAGTTGGATAAATTTATTGTGTGTTTGATGTCGATATTGGGTTTGGTTTTAGTTTCGGGGCAAAACGAATGAGAGGGAAGCCTCACTTTTTGTATTGACCGATTTCTACTTTTTTGTCAACTGGTAGATCTAAATGAATGAAGGGAACTGTTTTTTGATTTTCCTTTGCAGCTGGAGTAATCAGTCTTGCGTTCTACTTTTCTTCCATTTTTATGTTCTTTTTCGTTTTACTATTTATCTCTACAGTTCCACTATACGCATGGGATTCCTATTCGTGGGATTCTGTTCTGCTGTATCTAGATAATTACATGCCTTTTTTGCATTCTTTCTTCATTTTATTTGCAAGGGGTTTGAGTTTTGTAACCCTCTCGTATAATCTGTACTCCCCACCTATGCAAACACAATAGGTCTTTGATTTGAATACCCATAAATTCTCTGTTTTGTTTGGAGAATGAGAGTGAATGTATATTATATTTCAGATATAAAGTGAAACTGAAAACGATTAAATAATTAAATTTTATGCAATTTACAAATTACTTTATTCTTGTTGTGTGGATTTTAGAAGGTAATTGCTATATGTTTTACCAACATTTAGGGATGTTAACTTTAGTGTATGCAGAGTGCTGATTTACTACTTACGTAAAATAGTGAAAAGAGATAATAGTTCTTCATAGATGTATAGTTTGCCAGTTAAAATGAAAATTTAGTGAATGGACTTTGTTGTTTCCATTTGTTATCTAATAAAAACTAATTTCAAACAAAATATACACCTGTGAAAGAATCCTAAATTTTCTGAAAATTTAGTTATATGCACCTAATCAACGTTGATAAATCTGATGTATAAAAACTAAGAACTCCTCTTTTATCTCATGCAATTGGTTACGTGATATTGTCATCAGAAAGATTTTTTTTGTTGTAAGTTTTTTGCTGTCCTTGCTGATTACATGGTCACCAAAAGGAGATACTAGGGATACTCTATTTTTCATCTTTTATATCATATTTAAGAAATATAGCATGTATTTCTGGTTAAAAGATTGGATCTTTTTCAGCTCTGTTTCAAATTTTGAAATGGAAATTTTTACCCCAGGATTTTCTGTAGGTATGATGATATATATATTACCTGTTTGCTGGGAGATTGAACAATTTAAGTGTACAAATCTGGCAGTATGGACTGTCGAAATGCAGCAACGAAGCTCTGGTTGTGATTGAAGCTTACATGACACTTTGATACATGGGACCTTGTCCAGCTGACCAGGTTGTGAAGGATCTTGAACTGGTAAGATGACGCATCTCTTTAACTAATTCATCTTAAAGTAGACAATGACGTATTTCCTTATTCAATCAGTAAGAAAAAAAGTTTCAATTTATGAAGCTGTACTGGAATTTGCTGTAGATAGTTTTGTGATGATTTCAGATGATTTAGACATCATTAAAATTGGCTATGCCAAATCATATGCACCCTTTCCAACAGGTAAATTAAACAAGAACAACTAGGGGTAATTGAACTGTTTGATAAACCATAAGTCTTCAGATTCTTTAATTCCTCCTTTTTCTTTTTTGCAGCATGCATGTTTCTCAGTGTAGTAGGGCTGATGAGCTTTGAGCATCCAATACACAAAGTGAGAACAATGCCGTGAGGTGCAATTTGTAGAGATAATTTCAAGGTTGATTTTTAACTCCAGAGTTAACAACATTCCTCGTGTTGGTAATCAGATCCACTGGGTTGGTTAGAATATTCAACTATCTTAGATTAAAGAACAACTGCAGGATTCTAATTATGTTGCTACCAATTGTGTATTTTTATGTTGTCTTATTGGGTTTAGACTCTTAAATACGTCAAAACCTTTAGTAAAAGAAAAGGTTCCCCTCTGTTCTCTGTTCAATGGCAGAAGGCTTCTCGAATATATTCCTATAAGAAGATTTTCTTTCAATCCCATCAATTCAAAACTGTCATAGACTTCATCATAAAAAGTGAAAAAAATTTTCTTTCGACCATGACACCTAAATTTTTTTTTTCCTTGTACAAACAAATCGATGGCCATCCCTCCCTACAATTTTGTATAAGCTTCAGGAGTTTCTAGCTACTTCTTATTACCTTCGACTGCATCCTTTTATACTGTTTCCGCAATGTATATTGTTTGCTTCTTTCGATGTGGGATGCTGCTGTAAATGCCTATTAATTCTCGGTGTAATTCTCGGTGTAATTGGAATTTGCATAAGATTTTTCGGCCTCTCATGTCATGATTTTTTTTTTTTCAAGATTTTATTATCATAAACCATTCTTGCAGTTATCACAATTATTATTATTTTTCGCTACTTAAAAAGATAGTTGTATTCAATATAACATTATCATAATTCAATAATGGCCACAAATACAATAATTATTTGTATGAGATTTTTTGGCAAAAATAATAGAAAAGTGCTGATTCTTC